CTCCAAAACTGATGGACAAGCAATGAAGGATCCTACCTTATACAGAAGTGCGATTGGTGGCCTGCAATACTTGATCCACACAAGGCCAGACATCACTTACTCTGTAAATAGATTAAGCCAATTCCTTCAGGCACCAACAGAAACTCATTGGAAGGTACTTAAACGGGTATTCAGGTACTTGAAGAGGATACTAAATCATGGACTTGCTATCCAAAAGAATGATAGTCTAGACATCATTGCATTTGCTGATTCTGATTGGGCCACTTGCCCAGATGACAGAAGGTCTACCGTCGGATATTGTGTATACATTGGGGATAATTTAGTATCATGGTGTTCCAAAAAACAACATGTAGTGGCCAGGTCTAGCACGGAAGCAGAATACAGGGCACTTGCTCACTGTGCCTCAGAGATCACCTGGATTCAGTCACTAATGCAAGAACTGAAAATTCCACAGAAGTCAATCCCAGTCATTTGGTATGATAGCTTAAGTGCAAGTGCTTTAGTCTCGAATCCAGTTTATCATGCCCGCACGAAGCACATAGAGCTAGGTGCTCACTTTGTAAGAGACAAAGTACTTGAAAATCAGTTGAAGATCAAATATGTGCCTACCTCAGACCAAACAGCAGATCTTCAAACCAAACCTATGTCGTGCTCCAGATTTCAGTTTCTTAGGGACAAGCTTGGAATGTTAGATCACACTCCACCTTAAGAGGGGGTGTTAGAATATCTCATTGAAGCCGACAGCATCCTAACAGACTGCTAGATGGATACAGCAGCTCCTAAATTCCAGAAGTGGAAGTGTAATTGGTTAGCCAACTGGTATTAATTGGTTAGACGGCAATGGTGAATGATTCTAGAATGTTCAAGCCTTGTAAACTTGCTATATATACCGTGTATCAATCAATAATAAAACTAAGGTTTTATAGCAATCATCTCTGGTTTTCTAACTAATCAAAATCCCAATTCCTCATTAGGAGAGTGATTGAATTGGATTTACCCACCAATTACGTGTTCTTAATATAAATGTATTTTGAATTTTGGGTTAAAATTTTGAATTGAATTCAATTGGTTGGATAATTTCAAAGTTGGGAATTGGTTTGAATTGGTACACGTGCATAAGTATTTTTTTTTTTATTTTGGACACAGATTGAGATTTGGCTTTCATTAATTCTCATTTGATTATGCACCTTGATATTGTGTATTTTTTCATATTGGTCATTATTTGTTTAATTGTTTAATCATGAGTTTGAGGGGAGACGTTAAATATGCTAACTTTATATTATCTTAAGGGTATATTAGTCATTTTACTTATGTTAATATTTAAAGCTTTTATTTCTTGTATTTTCAGCAATTCAATTAATCAAGAACCCTCGCCTCTTTTTGTCTTTCCTCTCTATTGGTATTAGTATTTTAACATTATACACTAATAACACGAGATTTAATATGTTTATTACATGGTTTGTAAGTTTACAATTTAAAAAAATTATAAATATCTTAATGGAATAAACAAAGTGTAAGATGCAATCTTTATAAAGAAGTTACAAACTATAATTTATCAAAATATTACATACAAGTGAAAAAAAATTACATAATTATCGTATTTTTTTCTTAAAGCATTGGTTTATGTTGTAAATTTTAAATATTTACCGAAATTCAATATTTTGTAGTTCATTGTCAGCCCCTATTTCTTCCCTGTTTGTGTAAATTGCCCAGTTTTATATGACCGCAACTAGCCTTTAAAGCACACGAACAAAACTTTTTTTTTCTGCCAAACTAAAGTAAAGTAAATAGAGTTAATAAATGAATTCGTGTAAATGGTCTTATTTATATGAACAAGACTTATTAATCAATCGTTGCAATTATATTTTTTAAATTTTTGAACAATGCTGGGTTGTCATAGAGGGTTTGATATCCTCCTTGATAGATTTAACAGCATTGAGAAACTAGCCCGTACCCAATCCAATTTCCTCTGTGATTTGTAATTTCTTATAAAAGGTGGATTGAACTTTCTCGAAAAATAAAAATTATTATGACTTGTGAGAAATGAAATTTAGTCCTGTTTGGCTCAATTTAAAATTTGGATTAAATTTAGGGAAAATTGTAGTGGATGTCCCAAACCTTTGATTTTGTTATAAAATAAACCTCAACTTTTCATTTTTGCGACCGCAATCCCAAATCTTTAACTTTCGTTGCAGCTAGAGTCCATTTGATAGGTTTTATTCACTTATCCGTTAGTCAATCCTTAAATTAAATGTTTAACTCAAATTAACTAATTAGATTAAGGATAAAATTGTCGGTTTATATTTTTTATAATAAAATCATTAAAAGAATTTTTAAAAAAACTATTGATCATCTTCTTCAACCTCCTCTGAGTCCTATAAATTGTCCTTCTCGCCCCCAGGGCACATCTCCAAGTCGTCAAAGGGGAAGGTGAAAAAACTCCAGCTTTGCTTGAGGCTGCTGCGTCAAGGGTTCGAATCCTGAAATATGGATTTGGCTATTGGGTAAGTGCAAGTGTACAAGTAGCCTTCCACCCTGTACATTTGAAGGCATAACCTGCGATTTACCTCCTTCACCAAGGCCTAGGGCAGGACAGGTGGGGGCCGCTAAGGATGCGGTTCATCCTTTTTTTATAAATTCCCCTTCTCTCTCTCTAAAACCCAATTAAGAAATCCCAAATTGTTGTCTGTTTCAAAAAAATGAATAAAGCATCAAATGGGGGAAGAAAATGAGGCCTCAAGGCCCAGCCCCAAACAAAAAGAAAGCACCAGCAGCGAAGAATCCCAAGTGATATTGAATGTATATGACCTCACACCTGTAAATCAGTTATTTGGTAAATGGGAGTAATTTGCTAAATCAGTTATATTGGTAAATGAGTAATAAATTAAATGAGAGTTAAATTAAATATGTTTTCTCATAGAACATGAAAATGGGCTCTCTTAAGGAATTATTTGAATTTTAGTTGTTTGAACTTCGATTCAGATTACTCGGATAAAAATATGAATTGGGCTTTAAAAAAAATAAAAAACCTTCTACTGTAGTGGCCACAGCTCAATCTTGTTTTGTTGGAGTGCACAGATTGGGAGAGATTTTGACTAATTAGTAATCTTCAGTCATGATTATTTGAGTTGTGCATTTTAGTGAATTTCTCATAATAGAGTTTTTCGATTTTGAAGAAACTAAATTTGTGTTTTGAGGTTTGGTGAAATGGACAACAATTTGGGATTTCTTTGTTATGAAGAGGATGAAGATGACCATTGGAGATGGCTGCTAAAGAAGAAGAGAAGCTACAGATGCAAACCAAGAGGAAAAGAAGAAGAAAAANAATAGAAAAATAGAAATTGGAATAACAGAATTTGGTTATGATGCTTGGAAACCCACAAATTGCTCAACGTTGCTCTGCCATAACAAACTCTCTAAGCCAACGAGGCCTCACGCGTTTTCTGGCTTCACGTACTGCACCGTCTTCTCCCCTTTTCCCTTCCTCTTGAACATTCTCGATCCTTTCAGCTGTTGGGTCTCCATTCTCCCAGGCTGATTCTTTTTGTGCATCAAACTGGGCTTCTCCTTCATGGGCCACGGGTTCAGCCCACAATTTCACTTGTTTTTGGACTGATTTATTATCCAGTATCACTTGGGCTAAGCTATCACTTCCCTCCCCGTCAAAAATGACCTTGTCCTCAAGGTCAGTCACATTGTACATCTGGCTGAAAGCGTGGAGGTCCTCCCATGTAGAGTCTTCTGGTGTACTATAAGACCATTGTACTAACATTTGTTTAGTTGTCTTGTTCTGCTCCTGGATGATACGACCAGCCAACACAGCAATAGGAATGAGTAGTGGCTTATTGGCGTGACTGAGTTCAGGTAAGGGGTAGCTGTTGATTGGTTTAACCCCTTTGAAGGACTTCAGTAAGGAAACATGGAAAGTGGGATGAATCTTACTTCTTGAGGGAAGCTCAAGTTTATAAGCCACCAAACCGGCGTGGGCAATAATTGGAAACGGGCCAAAATAACGACGACAGAGTTTGGAGTTGAGTCGTGTGGCAACAGTGGTTTGTCGGTAAGGCTGCAGCTTAACTAAAACCAAGTCCCCTATTTTGAATTGAATGTCTCGACGTTTCTTGTTGGTTTGTTGCCTCATCCAATTCTGTGCCTGTGCTAGGTTCTCTTTCAACTTCTGCAAGATTGCATCTCGTGTTAACAAGTCTTCCTCCACCTCCTGAATGGTTGTAGCACCTCGAGTATATGCTGGAATCGTTGGTGGCAGCCTTCCGTATACTGCCTGAAATGGGGTCATGCCAATTGCGGAGTGATGGCTCGTATTGTAGTGATATTCAGCCCAGGAAAGAAACCGATTCCATTGCTTAGGGTTCGCTGCTGTGAATGCCCTCAAGTACTGTTCCACATATCTGTTTGTCACTTCAGTCTGTCCATCCGTTTGAGGGTGATAAGAGGAGCTCATCTTCAGTTTAGTGCCCATCAATTCGAATAGTTTCTTCCAGAAGGTGCTCGTGAAAATGGGATCACGATCAGACACAATGGTACGAGGCATTCCATGTAAGCGGATGACCATGTGAGAGAACAAATCGACAATTTTTGTGGCTGTGTAGTGTTGAGGGAGAGCCCCAAAATGAGCGTATTTGGTGAAACGGTCAATAACCACAAGAATGTTGGTGCTTCCGTGAGAATTTGGTAGCCCAACTATGAAATCCATGGCTAAATCCTCCCATACACGCTCTGGAATCTCAAGCGGGCTGAATTAGACCATAGGGGGCCGTGGGTGAGTATTTCACTGTCTGACAAATGACACATGTTGCAACAAATTCCTTTACCTCCCTCCGCATGCCTTCCCAAAAAAAGTTTGCGCTGAGCCTCAGAAAGGTTCTTTCCACTCCTGCGTGCCCACCCATGGGAGTATCATGGAATTCTTGAAGTAGCAACTTCTTCAATTTTGAATTCTTGCTGATCATGAACCGATTTCTATATAGTAATAGGCCATCTCATAAACTATAGTGGTTGTCTTGTCCAGTCCCCTCGAGCACTTGTTTCTGGAGTTCCTGCAATTCAGGTGATTTCATGTTCTCTTGCCTCAATTCTAACAAGAGATCATACCTGCCCGCTGATATTGCTGCTCGAAGCTGAATATTTTGCTTTTCATGTCGCCGGGATAAGGGTTCTGCAGCCGAGTTCTCCTTACCAGCCTTATACTCAATAGTGAACTGATAACCCATCAATTTCCGAAGGTACTGCTGCTGTTCTGGGGTCTGAATCACCTGGGTTAGGAGGTCCTTCAAACTTTTGTGATCAGTCCTAATGATAAATTGTCGCCCATGCAAGTATTGTCGCCATTTGGCCACCGCTTCAACTACAGCCCGTAATTCCCGTACATAGGTCGAGGCTCCCATCATGCGAGGCCCAAATTTTTTGCTGAAATACGCTAACGGGTGCCCCTCTTGCATCAAAACCCCGCCCATCCCAATGTTAGATGCGTCAGTCTCTACGATAAAATCCTTCGAGAAATCAGGCAAATGAAGTGCGGGTGTTACCGTCATAGCTTGTTTCAACCTCTCAAATGCCATTGTTGACTCCTCGGTCCATCTGAAGTTTTCCTTTTTTAATAGCTCCGTGAGTGGGGCTGCTCTTGTCGCGTAATGGGCGACGAATCTGCGGTAGTATCCTGTAAGTCCCAAGAAGCCCCGCAACTGCTTGAGATTTCGTGGTTGTGGCCAGTCGACCATTGCCTTTATTTTAGTTGGATCTGCCTTGACACCATTACTGGAAACTAGGTGCCCAGGTACTCAATGGTACTTTGAAAAAACTGACATTTGCTCCCTTTTGCAAAAAAATTGTTCTCAGCTAGGCTTTGCAACACCAACCTTAAATGTTGAACATGATCCTCAGGGCTTCTACTGTATATGAGTATATCATCAAAGAATATAATGACAAACCGCCGTAAGAAAGGTTTAAAGACCTGGTTCATAGCTGCTTGGAAAGTGGATGGAGCATTTGATAGGCTGAACGACAATACAATGAACTCGTAGTGACCCTCGTGAGTCCTAAATGCCGTCTTGTGTATATCGCGGCGATCCATTCGGATTTGATGGTACCCAGCTCGAAGATCTAGCTTAGAAAACACAGTTGCGCCTCCTAGCTCATCCAGGAGTTCATCAACGGTAGGTATCGGAAATCGGTCTCTGATGGTGATTCCATTTAACGCGCGATAGTCCACACAAAATCGCCAAGAACCATCTTTCTTTTTCACCAGCAATACCGGTGAGGAGTATGGGCTGTTGCTGTGCCGTATGAATCCACAATCTAGCATCTCTTGCACCAGCTTTTCCATCACATCCTTTTGGAAATAAGGATACCGGTATGGCCGAACATTGACCGGTGATGAACCGAGCTGCAAGTAAATTCTATGATCGACATTTCTAATAGGTGGTAGCTGCTTGGGTTCTTCAAATACTTTCTGAAATTGTCTAATGATTCCTTTTCCTACTGCTGGTATTTTTTCCTCTAATCGATTCACCTCCGTAGTTCCTTCCTCTAGTGCCCCTGTTGCCGAAGTCAATCTATAAACCCTACTGATTCTCCCCTCAAGTATCAAGGTACTAAACTGGGAATATGTGACTTGTCGAGCATTGATTTTGCTATTACCTGCCAACTTCACAGTCCTTCCTCCCCATTGGAACTCCATAGTTAACTCCTTGTGGTCATGAATGTAAGGACCCAAGGTTTGTAACCATTGCATGCCAAGGACAACATCCAACCCCCAAATTGGTAGTACGTACAAATCTACCTCAAAATGGTGCCCTTGCATCACCAATTCCACCCCCTTACACTTCTTGCAACACACCAGATAATGCCCATTGCCCATGTACACCTTAAATTGCCTAGTCTCTTCCCAATTCAACCCCATTTTCTCTACCAAAGCCTCTTGAATAAAATTATTATTACTCCCAGTATCTATGAGTACCTCCCAGGATTCTATTCTATGCTTAGCCATGATACGAAAAATACGTGGATTCACAGAATTTGCGAGGGTATTGAGACTTACTTCTAGTTCCTCTTCCTCTGCCGTGTCATTTTTCTCTGATCCCGAATCTTCTGATTCCCCTTCTCCTTCTTCGCTCCCGAACATCAATAATACCCGGTTCTTGCACTTATGGTTAATGTGGTACTTCTCGTCATAGGTGAAACATAGCCCCTTCTCTCTTTTCTCTCGGAGTTCCACAGGAGACAATCGTTTGATCGGAAGCTTGGGTATGTTCAACTGTTGGCCTCTGTTTGATGCAGGAATTGCAGCTCTGATCATTCCTTGACTGCTCGGTTTGTATCCCGTTGATGTGTTCGGCCCCCCACTCTTATTTTGAGGTGCCAAAGTCCGGTAACCATCGCCCCTCTGATGCCCCCATTAAATCTTCATTTCGGTCCTCAAATAGCTGGGCCCTTGCCATAGCATCAGCTAAATCCTGTGGGTGAGCCATCAATATTTCCCTTCGAATTTCCAGCTTCAAACCCCAAACAAAAAAATTGAGAAACATGGATTCGGATACACAGGTAATTCGAGTCATGAGCCATTCGAATTCAGCCCGGTACTGATATACTTTCCCTATCTGTGTAAGTTTGGTGATTCTGCCGAGTGGATCATCATAGATCGACGCCCTAAACCTCTTTCGCAATTCTCGCAAGAAAATTTCCCAACTAGACAGAGAGCCCCCTTTTTCCATCTACTGTTACCACATGGAAGGTTCACCGTCCAAATGAAACGCCACAACTGCCAACTTTTTCGCCGATTCCACTTGATGAAGGTTAAAGAATTTGTTGATTTTGTAAATCCAATTCTCCACATTTGCTCCGTCAAACCGAGGGACTTCGACTCTCAGGGTCCTTAGAAGCGAATGCACATCCCCCTGTATGTTTTCTACTTCAACTCGGTGTCCTCCAACTTGGCTGTGCTCCACACCTGCGCTGGTCTGACCTTCTGTGGGATCCGTCGAAGGTTAATGAGTTCGCCGATTTTAAGACATCTGGGTTAATCGTTCCTCCGTGTTGACCATGTGTTGCTCAAGCAACGAAGAAAACTTTTCAAGCTGGGTTTCTGCATGTTGCTTAAAGTTCATCTCCATGGCCTTTATGATTTTGGCGATATCCTCGTTCCTCATTTCCTCTCAATGAAAGCACCAATATTACCCAACGGTAAGAATGCACTCTTCGAGTCAGTGCTAAACTCCTCAAGGAAAATTCTCTTAATTGCATGATCCAAAAAATTACAACCCAACTGCTTATATATCCGTTCTTACAATTTATTCAGAAAATGAGAAATAGAAAAATAGAAATTGGAATAACAGAATTTGGTTATGATGCTTGGAAACCCACAAATTGCTCAACGTTGCTCTGCCATAACAAACTCTCTAAGCCAACGAGGCCTCACGCGTTTTTTGGCTTCACGTACTGCACCGTCCTCTCCCTTTTTCCCTTCCTCTTGAACATTCTCGATCCTTTCAGTTGTTGGGTCTCCATTCTCCCAAGCTAATTCTTTTTGTGCATCAAACTGGGCTTCCCCTTCATGGGCCACAGGTTCAGCCCACAATTTCACTTGTTTTTGGACTGATTTATTATCCAGTATCACTTGGGCTAAGCTATCAGTTGTGCATTTTCGTGAATTTCTCATAATAGAGTTTTTCTATTTTGAAGAAACTAAATTTGTGTTTTGAGGTTTGGTGAAATGGACAACAATTTGGGATTTCTTTGTTATGAAGAGGATGAAGATGACTATTGGAGATGGCTGTAAAAGAAGAAGAGAAGCAACAGATGCAAACCAAGAGGAAAAGAAGAAGAAAAAGAATAACGGTCACAACCAAAATTCAAATGGAAAATGGCATCGTTTCGAGCTAGGGATTAAAGTGTCATTTTTAATGATCAGTGGTGTCTAGGGGTGGGCGCGGGTCGGTTCGGTTTGATTTTTTTAGGTTCCAAAGATTTTCGGGTATTTATTAAATGGAACCGTCGATTCCAAATATAATTTTGGAACCGTTCGGGTTCGGTTCGGTTCGATTCGATTCCGTACTATAATTAAATTTTTTAATATTTAAAATAATACTACATAAATACATCTGAAAGTAGATACTAATATTAATAACAAAAAGTAGATATAAATACCAAGTTCAATCTTAACTTTTACAAATTAACGTAATCTAATTTAATAACATATAAATAACACGTTGTCAAATACAAATACGAAAAAGTAAATATTACTAATAAAACTTCGATAATTCATATCAATAATTCATTTGCTTCAAACATTCAAGTCTACATAAAAATGAAATATAAATTAGAAGTAATAAAGATAAAATATTTTAAAGTATTGATAATACTTACCAACTATTTAATGTAATAATCAGTTGCTTGACTTTCCAAACTAACTACTAAGAGACCATACAAGAAAAAATTGAAAAAAACACAACTAACAAACATAAATAAACTCTAAATTGTTCAACTAATAAGATTTAATAAGAAAAAAATTATTAATTTGTTTAGAAAAAATAAAAGAAATTGATTTATCCAATATAAAAAAAAAAATTCGGTTCTTATTCGGTTCTTCGGTTCTAGGTCTAGAACCGAGAATCGAACCAAATATTCCATGTTCGGGTATTTCATTTAAAAAAACCTGCTCGATTCGGTTCGGTTCGGTTCGAACATTTTGCCCAGCCCTAGTGGTGTCGTTTTGGGTTAATCAATTTCAAATATTTCCTTCTCTCATTCACGTTTTTCCTTCTTCATGGTTAGTTATATTGTTGGAGTGTGGAGAGTAGAGAGTGTGTTGTGTAATTGGAATTCTTCTTCCCTAAGTTTACTTCTACCTTTCTCTCTCCATTTCTCTGTAATTCCTTTGACTGTAACTTTAAATATTCAGAAATAATAGAATTTACAATTGTTATTTGAGCTGATTGATTCAATTCGTGAGTAATTAGTGAGGTGTTTAGTATCAATCATTACATTTGGTATCAGAGCAGTACGTTACTTGGGTGAAATGGAAACTCGAAACAAATCTCAGGAAGAACAAATTAAAAGAATTGATAAGGAGTTGGGCCAACTGAGGGTAGCTTACCAAGGTACAGATCAAGCTGCGAAACATCTCTGTGGCAGGCATGATACTCTCGAAGGGTTAATGGTGGAGATGAACAAAAAGTATGAAAACATTGTGGGGATGTTAGCTAAGATGAGTTGAGGATCAGTTAATTTTAGAAATTCCACACCCCAAGGAAATGGCAAAGGGGGTACATGTAGAGGACAAGCAATCTCCAATTCCACCGGATGAGGGGGTGTCAAACACCATTACAGGAAATTTTTCTTCACAAGGAGTGAAAAGGGGAGATTACAGATTGAATTCGAAGATTTCTAAAATTGACTTCCCTTACTTTAGTGGAGAAGGCCCTAGAGAATAGGTAAGGAAAGCTAGGAAGTATTTTTCGATTCGTCAAGTGCCTGAGGAAATGAAAGTGGGCATTGCTGAAATATATTTGAAGGGAAAGGCATATATATGGTTCCATGGGTTTATTACAAGATTTCCCTGTGCAGACTGGAATACATTCTCCATCGAAATATGTAGGCGATTTGCAGAAAATACAGCTGAAGAGGTTATTGAAGTGTTCAGCAAGATAAGGCACAAATGATCTATTGCTGAGTATCAGGAGCTATTCGAAGAATTGAAATCACAGGTGATGTTGTCCCTGCCTCACCTTCCTGAGTCATATTACATATCAATCTTCACTAGTGGCCTGAAGGAAGAAATTAAATCAATGGTGAAAATCATTAAACCTACAACCTTAGCCAAAGCTTTTGAAGTGGCCCTGTTGCAGGAGAACACCATTACAACCATAAATAAAGGAGCCAAGCCCTATAAACCTTTTACACCAACCAAATGGACCCCTCCTAACACCAAACCAACTAGAACCACACATAAAGACACCACCCACACTGAGCCAAATACAAAGAACCCAAACAACCCCTTAAAGTTCAAAGCCATCACACCTTCTGATTTCCAAACCAAAAGGGAACTGGGGCTATGCTACAGGTGTGATGAGAAGTATACACGAGACCATGTGTGTTTCGAAATAGGATGCTAAATGTTTTCCTTATAGATGAGGAGGAACAAGATGAAAATGAGGAGCTATCTAAAAAGAAACACGAGCAGGAGACAGGGAAAGAATTGGGAGAAGTAATGGAGATTTCTATTCATGCCTTGATGGGTAATAATCAGTCCTAGACTATCAGACTTTCAGGGAGTATCAAAAATAAGAGAATCTCCATCCTCATTGATAGTGGGAGTACCCATAGCTTTGTTGATGAGCACTTGGCCAGGAACCTCAATTGCAGGATGCAGCCAGTAAAACTAGTGAATGTGACAGTGGCAGGTGGGGAGAAATTGGTGAGTAATGCTGTCTGCAACCTATTAACTTGGAGGATACATGATTTGGAATTTCAATACCAGCTGAGAGTCCTCAAGTTGGGAGGGAGTGACATGGTTCTGGGGGTTGATTAGTTGAGCCAGTTCAACCCTGTGCTTTTTGATTTTTGCAAGGGAAGTATAACCTTCACTCATAGAGGTGTCCAGATGGAACTAAGTAAAGAGGTTGTGAAGGAAGAGTGTCATATGATGACAGAAGTGGAGGAAATAAGCTGGTTCAAGGGGCAAACATATGAGGTAATAGCACAAATTGACTTCAGTACTGACAAGGAACCAAAAATAATACCAGTTGAAATTCAGGCTGTGATAGATGAGTTTTCCATGGTTTTCTCAGAGCCAAAATGCTTACCTCCACTCAGGTTTAACGATCACCACATACCAATTAAAGAGGGAGCACAACCCTTCAAACTGAGGCCATATAGGTGCCCTTACATACAAAAGACTGAGATTGAAAGGCTGGTTAAGGAGATGAAGGAAAATGGGATAATCCAGCCAAATACCAGCCCTTATGCATCTCTTGCCTTGCTAGTTGAGAAGAAGGATGGTACTTAGAGGTTTTGTGTGGACTATAGGTAGCTCAATAGCCTTACCATTAAGGATAAGTATCCTATGCCCTTGATTGATGAGTTGTTGGATGAGTTCAAAGGAGCAAAATGGTGCACTAAGATAGACTTCCGAGCAGGGTACCACCAAATCAAAGTTGCTAAAGAAGACATTCACAAAACAGCCTTTAAGACACATGAGGGACTCTATGAATTCAGAGTAATGCCTTTTGGACTCACAAATGCCCCTGCCACTTTCAGTACCTGATGAATGAGGTTTTTAGGGGACAACTCAGGAAATATGGTTTTCTTTGATGATATATTAGTCTACAGCAAGGATTTGGAAACCCACCGTAAACATGTGACTGAGGTTCTGAAATTACTGAAGGAACACTAACTCTATGCTAAAAGGAGTAAATGTTCGTTTGGCCAATCCAAGACAGAATATTTGGGGCTTATTATCATAGCTGAGGGGGTGTCTGCAGACCCCTCCAAAATTGCTGCTATGCAAGAGTGGCCTACCCCTTCGAATGTCAAACAATTAAGAGGTTTCTTGGGGCTTACAGGCTATTATAAGAGGTTTGTGAGGGGATATGGAGCTATGGCCAGGCCTCTAACAGATCTGTTAAAAAAGGATAAGTTCCAGTGGAATGAAGCAGCTGATCAGGCTTTCCAAGAATTAAAGCATGCTATGAGTACTACCTCTGTCTTAGCCCTC